GGGTTGGGGTTTAGGTTTGAGGGTTTAACCACGGCTTTCTCTTTTAATACAACTTTCTTGCATAAAGTCCCTGGGCGTGGAAGAAAGGATTTGCAAGGGTTTTACAGGTTTAGATATAATAAGTATAGTGCTAAGCCTTAGGGCTTGGGTTCATACGTAAATGTATAGTCATACACCCCCAAAATCTGATGACTAGGACCCCTCAATCTGATGCACCTCGGAAAACGGTAAGGAAAACACGCAAGATAGAAAGTACACATCCCAGTCTCAGCCCAGGAAACCTGCTCCTTCAACTAGCCCTCACCCTCTGAAGATCGCAAGCGTTTAGGGGTTAGGGGTTTAGGGNNTTTAGGGTTTAGGGTTTAGAATCCGAGAAGAACTCGCAATCCACCCCGAATCCTGCACCCTAAACCCCAAACCGACCCAAACCTTTCCCTAAGGGTCCATGTACCCAAATAGTAGGTACCTACATTGCAACTACTTTAAGGCCAAAGTATATTACATATTTGGGTAGTTGTCAAAATGATGGTCCCTTTTGGGGTACCCTAAATAATAGGTGCCGTATTATAATAAGGACCGCAAAAAAAGACCATAATTTTGACAACCACCCATTTGGGCACATGGACCCTTAGGGTTTGAAGAGCCCAGTGTAGGAGGCCGATAAGAACCGTGACGCCTCTGCATGAGACACCATAAGCCCCAACCCCTCCCTCCTCTCCCTTCTTAGGCTTAGGGTTTAGTGTTTAGTGTTTAGGGTTTAGGGTTTAGTGTGTAGGGCTTGCGATTTAGAGCTCACCGCACTACACCTGTCTGAAAACAAACCCTAGAAGTCTAGAATAACACACTAAACAAAGTAACTCACTAGACCTAACCCTAAGCCCGAAACCCTGCTTGGAGGTACATGGGACTTAGTTAGTACAATTATAACTATATTGATTGGGGTTATAAGTAATCATAAGAATAATTACTTTATTTATAACCCCAGTTAGAGCTAAGTCTGGTGAACCTCCAAGTAAAATAGACGGCAGTGAACTCTAAGCCCCAAACCTTCCAAAACAAAACATGGGATTTAGGATGTAGGATTTGGGAAACCCTAAACCCTTAACCCCAAATCCACTAAACCTTGAACCCTCAACCCTCAACCCCAAACCTACTAAACCCTGAACCCTCAACCCTCAGCCCTAAACCCTAAACCTACTAAACCCTGAACCCTCAACCCTAAGCCCTCAGCCCTAAACCCTAAACCCTAAACCCAAAACCCTCAACCCTCAACCCTGAACCCTCAACTCTAAACCCTAAACCGTTTTATAGGGTTTTGCCAGGACACCAGTTGAGCAAAGTCCGCGTGTCCCTCGCTGGCACGCGCCAGGCTGGCACCACCCACGGAGAGATTTTCACCTCAGCGGGTGTTGCTTTTGTTGGAATCGGCAAGCAGCTGGGAAGCAAGTTATTCACA